GGGGCGTCTGCCCGCGGACCTGGGCCCAGGAGGCGGGCGCGCCTGCGGACGGGTCTTCCTTGGCCCATGGCGCGGAGGCGGAGGACCCACACGCCAAGCACCTGTACACAGCCGACATGTTCACGCACGGGATCCAGAGCGCCGCGCACTTCGTCATGTTCTTTGCGCCCTGGTAACTAGCTGCCCGCCGCCCCGAACGCGGAGCTGCGCCCCTCGGGGTTCAGGCCGGACGCAGACCGGCCCTTGCCGCCGCCCCTGGTTCTGCGCCCCGGCCTTGCCCTTGCCCATGCCCGCGCCCGGCCACCGTCGCGCGGCCCGGAGAGCCGGCCGCGGGGCTGCGGGCCGAGGGGGCAGTGGGGCGTGGGCGGCGCTGGCCCCGGGCGGTCCGGCTGACGTGGCGCGGAGCGGAGAAGGAGGAGAGGGGAGGTTCCCCGGCGGAGTCCGGAACTGCCGGTCCCTCCTCCCTTCCCCCACCCCCTGCAGCTCCATTACTGAACTTCACCCGTCCCGCTCCTGGCCTAAGGCCGGGGAGTGTGGGCTCGGCTCCTTTTAGGGCTCCTTGGGACCCGAACGGGACCCCGACTGCCGCTGCCCACACCCCAAACTTCCGAGGCCGGCGGGGCACAGCGGCCGGCTGGATGCAGCCACTCCGTGGGCCGCGCGCCGCAAAGGGGCCACGTGGGCCTTTCCTGCAGGCCTGCTACCTGCGGTTGGCTCAGTGCTCGCAGGTGGTTACTTTCAGGCCGTTCTGTAGGGCAGGTGACCAGCGTGAGGGTTTCATTGGGAGAGAGCAACTCCAAAAGGCACGCTTTCCCAGTGTTTGTTTTGTGAGGTGTGGAGAGGGGTTGGCCCAGGGATGTCATGTCTCATAGTGAGGCCGGCTATATGGTCTTCTCTATGGATTGGCTGCTCTGATTTGGGCGAGCCCACCATAGTTCCGAGTAGAGAGAAACCAACCGGCCCACCCTTAAAATCTTAACCTCTGCCATCTCCTCTCTCCTGTCTGGGTCTAGTGGTTTGGAAGTGTGTCTCGGGAAGACTGGCCACGATGAGCAGACTATATACAGCCTGCCTTCACTCTCAGGTGTGGCCGTTGGTGTGTGCCCGGATGCCCTGTGTACCAGAGGGACCCTAACTTAGGAAGCACCTACCTGACTGAAGGGCTCTTGGCCATTCACACAAACAAATCTGTGCTTTCTTAGCATGCCCCAGATGTCAGAAAGAGGGGAGAGGCTGCCACATTTGGGGGCACAAGGCAGTTTGAGATCAGGGGTTGACCTGGGGAAGCATTGCATTTGTGTGAGCAAACCTTGATTTTCTTACCCGGAGCTGAAGAAGGGAGGTGTGCTAACTCAGTGCTGGTGGAAGTGGGGCACTCTGTTTCTTTGGCCCACATCCAGCCCACAGGCCTGCTCCCAGGCTTAGAACCTACCACTTTTGCTTGATTCTGTGTTGAGGGTGTTGAATCAAATTCTTTTGGACAGCTTTCACTTCTTAGCAATGTCTTTGTCAAGAGTGTGCATTTCAAGTTCCCAAGAACCAGCTGATGTGGGTTTCTAGAACTACCAGTGGTATGGAAGATAAGGCTGTGCCAGTAAAATATTGAAGACAAAACCTGTTTCTATCAAGTGGATTCTGAAGCCCTAGTGATCCCGGTAGGACCTAGTGTAAGGGCTGCTAACTGCAAGGCCAGAAGTTTGAGACCCCTAGCTGCTCTGCAGGAGAAAGATGACTATTCTTTTACTGGTTTGTGGCCTTGGAAACCCTCAGGTGCAGTTCTGCTCAGTCCTATAGGGTTGCCGTGAGTCGAGTGTGGTGTGGTTTGATTTAATCATTATAAAAGAACACAGCCATATATTTTGCCAGCAGAGCTCAAATTGAGTGCTTCATCTTTCCACCACCAGGACTCCTAATTAATAAACTCATTGCCATCAAGTTGATTTTGACTCATAGTGACCCTGTAGTAGAGGAGAGAACTGCCCTTGGGGGTCTCTGAGACTTTAACTCCATGGGAGTAGAAAGCTTCATCTTTCTCCCACCGAGCAGCTGGTGATTTTGAACTGCTGACCTGATAGTTGGCAGCCTGACACATAACTAAATAGGACTAAACAGTTATTCTGAGCAGGAGGAGCCAGTGATTATTCCAGTTAAGTAAGCTACTTAACTGGAGTCTGTTGCAATGAAAAAGACTGTAGACTTTCTCAATTATTTCACTGAAAGAAAAACTGACACAGCTAAGTTTGTGTAGCATTTCGCCAGAATTTGCAGATCAGAGTCTGCAGTAATCGCCAGCTTGTTCCGGGCTGAGTGAGGGAGAGAAGAGCAAGTGTGAACACTGGACTTCAAGTACATTTTCTTTTCCTTGTTTGAGACTTAGATTTAGAGAGGTCCTCACTGAAAGATTAACCTTTTAAGCTATGGGTTTGTTTGTCCTCAAAGCCTGCTACAAATATGTGAGTCGAGACATGTGAGTTTGTATGACGGCTTTTTAAAAATTACCCCTTGGGGGAGCAGATGGGAGTCGATCAGAGGTCAGATTGAGTGCATGCGTGCCAGCTGCCTGCCGTATCACTGGCCCTCTCTCTGTTCCAGTTCCTGTGGGTTGTGGGAAACTTATGTGTGATTTGGGGACAGAGGCACAAGGCAGTGGACACATTGATCTGTCTTTGATGTGAACTTGGCAGATACAAGGCCCGTCTCCACTGCTGTACATTCTGTGTCAACATCAGGCCATGCTTTTTCTGCAGCCAATTTGCGGGTCACACTGTGGTGCCAATGAGGTCAAGGTTGGGCTGCCTTCTGAATGCAACTGGCTACCTCAGAGCCTCACTATAGCCACAGGGTTCCAGGTGAACTGTACCAGTGAAGGTGACACCTGCGGCCACCTCACAGCCACCTGGGCAGGGAGGGATGATGGTCTTGCATGCTCAGTTTTGAATTTTCACATAATGACATTTTTCCTTATTCTTACTTCCAGTCTAGTATTTGCTGACTTCTCAAGAATGCAGAGAATCCACATATGAGGGGAGAACTGGCTAAAATGAGTATATCTGGCCACACACACACACACAAACACCACCACCATCACCAAAACCCAGAGTCAGGACTGCCCCTGAAATCCCTTAGGGAAGGTGTCTTGTTGGAAACCACTCCATGTGGGGTTTTTAATATGTCTATGCAGCCAGTTTCCTCCAGCACTGGATCAAATGATGATCCTTTTTTTTTTTCCCCTCCCAATGATGATCTCTTTGGTTAAGCACCGCATCTGTGTTTCTAGCCAGCAGCTCACACTTGATGTGCTGAGATCATACTTGATGGGCTGTTGTACCCTGAGAAGGAGCCTATGGGATGGAGACCACAGATTCACCTCCCACAAGGCACATTCTCTGTAGGGGGCCATGGAACTTGGGACTTTTCTTCTCCTTCCCTTCCCTTTTGCCTTGCCAAGCCCACCGTTGAATCTACAACACCACATGTGGTACCGTTTTACTGCATCTACTCCTTTGTTCAGCTAATAAATTGCCAAGAGTTTCCTACTTGCCAAGCATGTGCTAGGAAGTTGGGGGATATAGTAAGAAGGTGTGGCTGCCCTTCTTGGAACTTGTAATGATACATATTTAAGCAGAATATTCTTTTCCCTCAAAATAATCCGCCAGAAATGGGGAAATCATTGAATTGGGTTCACTTAGGTAAAATAGGGATTCTCGGGGTTTTAGTTAGGAAAGCTCTGTTTCAGGAAAACCTGAAGGTGACCTAGATGCGTGTGCTACAAAGCACTACATCAGTGCTCCTGGGTGGACGGCAGTTGCTTTGTGAATGTGTGCTTGAAGCTGGATAAAGTGTCCCGTGTGGGCTCATAGGATGTTCACGTCTGACACTGGCGACCTCAGACATCTGCAGATGACAGTCGGCTCTGTGACTCCAGAAGTGGCTCTAGTGACAGAAAAGATGTGGAGACTTTAATGACGTGTGCAGTAAGGGGAGAATACAGGGGGAGCGACCCTTGAACACAGTCAAGTGATAGGTGATTTTTAAGTCGTTTTGTACAACTGAATTTATACGAGGAATAACATAGACATTTGATTGTAGTAGCCCTAAAAGTGTGGGTGGCTAGAAACTTCCTTAGCTTTCCATTGCGGGGAGAGGGGGTGGGTTTACTTTTGAAGTTGACGCTGGTTGGGGGTGTTTGGTTGTGGAGGAGAGGAGGCGTGACATGAAAGAGCAGCCAGAGAATACAGCAAAAGCTGCTCAGGTGCTGCAGGCACAGGGTAGAGGCATGAGCATCCGGGAAGAGCGGTCACTCTGAGAGACTAGGGTCCCAGGACCAACTCCTTGGGAGGAAGTCATGCCTAAACCAAACCTGGGGCCAAATACGAACTCGCTAGGTAGAGGTCTGGGAGAAAGCAGAGGTTCAGAGCCTCAGCACCAAGCCGAGATCAGAAAATGACGCAGGCGGCCTGCAAAAAGTGAAGGAGGGCCTCGTGTGGAGATGAACAGGGACAGAACCTGCCCAACAACTCCCTGCGTTTGCGCTGAATGCTGAGAAGGACGGGGAGACTCTGGAGGGTTCAGGCTGCAAGAGCAGCTCCTGTAGTCACCCTGAGCTCTCACTCTGTCTGAAGAGGGTGAGAGAACCTGGCTGCCCTCAGTAAACGGCGAGGTCATTGGGCATTCAGTTTGCTTGTCACTTTCCTCACAGGTGTGGGCACTGCCAGCGGCTGCAGCCAACGTGGAATGACCTGGGAGACAAGTACAACAGCATGGACGATGCCAAGGTCTATGTGGCGAAGGTGGACTGCACGGCCGACTCGGATGTGTGCTCCTCCCAGGGGATCCGAGGATACCCCACGTGAGTGGGAAGGGTTTCCCACGTGGTTCAAGTTTTCCATATCACTGTAAAGGGAGCTAAAGAAAGAGTCCAAGTTAAACCTTTGTAAATTTCCTTTGCGGTTCTGAACAGTTGTTGGGTGCTGTTGAGCTGGCTCTGACTCGCAGCCTCTGCGTGTGAAACAGGGAGGAAACAGCCCGACCTTTCCTGTTCTCAGTCATTACCACGGTCAAGCCCACTGTGCATCTACTGATCAGTCCATCTTGCTCAGGGTCTTCCTCTTTCTCCCCGATTCTCTCTTTGAAGATTGATATTCTTTTCCTTCCCCAAAGTACGTGAGATGAAGTCTTGCCACCTTTGCTTCTAAGAAGCATTATGACTACTTCCAAGATGGATGTGATCTGTCATCTGGCAGTCTATGGTATATTTAATATTCTTAACCAGCACTCTAATGCGAAGGCATCAACTCTTCTCTGAGCTTCCTTATTCACTGTCCAGCTTGCGTGCGCATGAGCCCATTGGAAATACTGTGGCGTGGGTCTTCAAAACTACGTCTTGCTTTGCTTTTTAAGGCAATTCATGTTGTTAGGGAAAATGATCTTTAACAAGGTGTCTGTTTTTGATGCCTTTTTCTATTGTGTTTGGAAAAAGCTTTTAATTCATCCATGCTAGGTTTTCTCACTTTTAAGAAAATGTGCGTGCAGGCAAAGAGGGGGTCTCTGTGAGGTCTGCCATGGCTCATGTTCACAGGAACCTTCCACAGTGAAGAGTAGCCTTGAGAGCAGCATTGTTTCAACAGTGGGCCACTCTGTTTTCTTCTACATCCTTCCCAGAGAAATTCCCTGGGTGACTGGTGTAAGAGGTAGGTCTGTTGGAAACCAGTTAAACCAGTTGCTGTCGAATTGATTTTGGCTCTTGGTGACTCCTTGTGTGCCAGAGCAGAACTGATCCACAGGGTTTCCAATGTCTGCTTTTTCAGAAGTAGATCACCAGGCCTTTCTCCTAGGTAGGCCTGAACCTTCAACCTTTGGTTAGCACCTGAACGTGTTAACTGCACCACCGACGGACTCCTCTGTTGGAAACGCAGGCGACAAACCAGAGCACAGCAGTTCTGACAAGAAATACCACCTACTTCTTGACAACTAAAGAGATTTTCTTCCTTACCTTCCTTCCTTCCTTTCTGTTGTAAAGATGTAGAAATTGAAACTAGCATATTAAAGGGAAGATTAATTACAAGTCTGCAGGAGAAGCCCTGAGGAGTTTGGAGGCTCTGTTTCTACTGTACTAACCATATAGGACCTCACCACCTTTGAGGCCTTGTATTTTTCTGTTCCTGGGAACACTGTACCTACTCCTGATGGGTGCATCTTGGATGACTGTTCATTTCAAGAGTAGGCACAGTTGCCAGGAAGGCAAGATCTTATAGGAAGGTGGCAGCCACCTTCCGGTGTGTGGCGAATGCTGGAGGGGAGCGCAATTCTCAAAGAAAGGGAGAGGCTGCTTGCAGAAGAAAACGGAGATTGGTTATTGGACCTCCCTAGATACTTGTCCCAATCGATGAATGAAGCCTATTCTATATGACTCATTACTTAGAGTAACACAGAGCATATTCAGTTGAATATGGAGACCCTGGTTTGTGCAGTTTGCTAAGATTAGAGGCTCAAATCTACCCAGAGATGCCTTGGAAGCAAGTCTGGTCAATCATCAGCCATTGAAAACCCGGTGGAGCACAGTTCCTCTCTGACACATGGGAGTTGGAATCTACTCGACAGCAACTGTAGGAAATC